ACACTGTTCAGGGTAGGGATGGTGCACTGCTAATCAGCAGTGATCCTACTGATTCAGGAAGAGCAGTGTGGTTTTCGTCCTGGTCGTGGTACACTGTACCAGCTCTACACCAGCTTTAAACCCTCAGCAGGGTCCTGGTCCTGTTAGGTCTCTGTACGACTGGTGTCAGAGTTTGGTCCGCATTGCTGGTTGGACTCGTTTCCGGTGAGAGTTGGACTCTGTCAAGGCTGCCCTTTGTCATTGATTCTGTTCATAACCTTAATGGACAGAATTTCTAGGCACAGCCAAGGTGTTGAGGGGTCCTTTTTTGGTGACCTTAGGCTCACATCTCTGCTTTTTGTGGATGATGTGGTACTATTGGCTTCATCAGATTGTGATTTCCAGCTCTCACTGGAGTGGTTCGTAGCCGTGTGTGAAGCGGCCAGGATTAGGATCAGTGCCTGCAAATCTGAGACCATGGTCTTCAGCTGGAAAAGGGTAGGGTACCTTCTCCGGGTTGGAGAGGGGGTTCTGCCCCAAGTGGAGGAGTTTAAGTATCTCAGGGTCTTGTTCACAAATGAGGGAAGAATAGAGCGGGAGATTGACAGGCGCATCAGTGCTGCATTGACAGTGATGTGCGTGCTGTACCGGTCCGTCATGGTGAAGAGAGAGCTGAGCCAGAAGGCAAAGCTCTCAATTTACCGGTCGATCTACATTCTTACCTTCATCTATGGTCACGAGCTTTGGTAGTGACCGAAAGAACAAGTTCGCGGATACAAGAGGCTGAAATGAGTTTCCTCTGCAGGGTGTCTGGGCTCTCCCTTAGAGATAGGCTGAGAAGCTCAGTCATCCGGGAGGGACTCAGAGTAGAGCCGCTGCTCCTACATGTCCAGAGGAGCCAGTTGAGGTGGCTCGGGCATCTGGTTATGATGCCTCCTGGACGCCTCCCTGGTCAGGTGTTCCGGGCACGTCCCACTGGGAGGAGGCCCATTAGAAGACCCAGGGCACGCTGGAGGGACTATGTTTCTTGGCTGGCCTGGGAAGGCCTTGGGATTCGCCCAGACGAGCTGGCCCAAGTGGTTGGGGAGAGGGAAGTCTGGGTCTCTCTGCTTAAGCTGCTGCCCCCTGGTCCCGACCCCGAAATAATAAGAAAACGGACGGATGGTGGTTGAAGCAAAATGCAGCATCTGAGCTTTTTCAGCATGAACAAAATTCAAAACCTTTTGACCAATCACACAATAAGTTCTTATTTGGAGGGACGTAAAAAGGTCTGCCAGTAGGTTGCGTCAAGAAGCTGCCGAAATGTCGACAAAGCCACAATTTTTGTAATGAAACTGTTGACAACCTGAACACATTTTGGTAGTTCAGATGGCGTATGCAGAGGCCTTTAAAAAGGTAGCACCCCAAGGCTGTGACCAGTGTGTTTAGCTTTTGTTAGAGGTATATAAGACTTTGGACGAGAGAGACTCTAGTGCAGGGGTGTGATACTCATTTTCACAGAGGGCCACATCAGCGTTATGGTGGTTCTCAAAGGGACAGTTGTGAATAACTTTGACGTATCATGTTTACCTTTGACTAAACATGATATGTCATATTCTTGGTCTCACTGCTAGCAAACTGCAAAAAACTGCATTTTAACACATCCTTGTCTAAACACTGAAAAACACTGTACAACTGACAAAATGTGAAATAAATAATACAGAAATACTATTTAAAGTAAAATTCTGAACGCTCCCACTTTATGACAGGGAATTCCCATGCATAATCAACATGAGTAATGGGAGATGTAGTTTCTGGTCACTGCTGACTTTAAAGCAGCTTATTTTGAGACATTAATATTGTGCTATCCAATTTGATTGCTCGGTTACTCAAAGCCAACAGCTCAGCTATATATATATATATATATATATACTGTATATTCCTTTGGTGGGGGGAGTGCCCCCCTTGGTGGGCCAAATGGGAGTCACCTGCAGGCCAGATGAGTTTGACACACACTCTAGTGTTAGCAGACACAGGTCTGTAGAGAAGTCCTTTGAAGTATCTTTTTGTCTGAATGGAGCTATGAAGAACATTTGCTCAAAGTTAATTGATGTCTGTAATTAAACAGGCTTATAAGTTCCTCTTTGTGTTGTCTCAGGGTCGTAACCTGGCAGACCTGCGGAGGAGTCAGCCCAGAGGAACCTTCACCATGAGCACCACCCTGAGACTGGGCAAACAAATCCTGGAGTCCATCGAAGCCATCCACTCAGTGGGTTTCCTGCACCGAGATATAAAACCGGTATGTTGAAAAAAATTTATTTAATGTTTTAAACAGAAAAATCTCACTGACATTTGGTCTGATGTGTAGCTAATAGTTCATACAAACATTTGAAAATATCAAAAGAAAAGTTCACATGCGAGTGGTGAGATCAGCTGTGTTGTTTGGTTTGGAGACAGTGACATTCATTAAATAACAGGAGACAGGACTGAAAGTAACAGAGCTGAAGATGTTAAGATTCTTCTTAGGAGTGACAAGAATGAATAACAGGGTTTCTACAGGGTCTTACAAAGTCTAAGAAAGTGTAAAATTTGAAAATCAAAATTTTAGGTCTAAAAAACGTCCTATAAATCCCCAGATTTTCATCCRAGGTCTTAAGTTSAATTTTGTGCAGTCTTWTTTTTTTTACTTTCAATCATTCCTGAGAAGCATTGGCTGCATAAATAAACCGAGTAAAGCACAGTAATCAGAGGATGACTCCATCTGTCTTCATGAAGTGCTAAGTTTGCTACTGGTTTTGGTATGCTGTTAAACTACAAATCCTGTGATGACTGCAGGCAAATAATGGCACCGTTTACTTCCATGTTTTAGACCTCTTTGCCTCTACAACCCCCTGCATACGGCAGCGTGTTCACCCACCCAAAAAACAAGGAATTTCAGTCATATCTGCTGCTTGTTGCTTAGACATGTGGAAGTGTGTTTTCACTGAGAACTGGTTTGAAACCAGTGATTTTTGCACTCGGTTGGAAGCGGTCCACAGCAGTCGATATGAAGGTCTCGTAGAGATGACCATTTCATTTAAATAATTTAGTGYTGTTTTATAAAAATAAACATTCTTTAACAGGTRAATTGATAGCAATAAAAGTTTTCTATGTTAAAATTTCTGTGACCATTTGAATGTTTCTATTAATGCATCGGTTTGGTCTTAAATGTCATTACTAATGGTCTTAAAATGTCTTTAAAAGGTCTTAAATTAAACTTACTGAAACCTGCATGAACCCCGGAATAAGATTAGGAGTGAAATCATCAAAGGTACAGCACAAATTAAATGACTGGACAGTGGGCTGTTGGTAGAAGGACAATTAGAAATGCAGCTGCCAGAATAAAAGACAAAGAGAAGATGTATGGGTGCAGTTAGTGAGGACAGGGTGAGATGGAGGAGGATAACTTGCTGTGGCGACCCCTGAAGAGGGAACAGCTGAAAGAAAAATCTTAGAGCAAGGCTGTGTGTGTGTCTCTCTTTCCAGGTAGACTCTCACCTGTAATCATCAACCACCTGCAGGTGGGAACAGCCTATTTAAGTGGGCCACATCCTCCTGAGGAGGAGGAGACTTGCTCTCTCCTGCCTCTGCTGCATGGTTGCAGTTTTGCTGGTGACCCCTCACAACTAGCCCTTTAGATTTAATAAACCTTTTTCAGTCAAACTCCACCTCTTGTCTGGTTGTCCCGTTTATGCTGCTTCCCTTTGAGCCACTGGGTTTGACCCAGAGCTGAAGGAATAACTCCACGATGACACCTCTACAGAAACACAATGAGTCTGAACATGAATTTATCTTTTACTCTCAAAAGTTTGTCCTGGGTTGTTGGCAGATATCAGAACTGATGTTAAAGTAAAATTTAGTTTGGTAGTTGCTGAGAGCCATTGCCAAGTTTTCACAGAACACTATCAGATCTCTCAAGGTCTCACAGTTTCACAGGACATTGTTCACAACAGTTTTTATGGTTTTACCAAAACAGCTACAATGCTATTCCTTGTCTGATTTTAGTTCAAAATTCGGACTTAAAAAGAGGCAAAAATGCATTTCTGCAAGAGATTCTACAGTGTGCAATTAATTAATGTTGTGTTTTGTTTTTGTAGTCAAACTTTGCGATGGGCCGACTTCCTTCCACCTACAGGAAGTGCTACATGTTGGACTTTGGTCTGGCTCGACAGTACACCAACACCAATGGAGAAGTCCGACCGGTAAACAGCTCTTATTTTTACTTTCACTTTTCTGCTCTGAACTACATCTTTTTGGACTTGTATGTTGGCAGTAAAGGTGTGTATTAGTTTGTTGGCATTATGCCACCTGTTAGTCAAAGCAATAAGCTTGTCAGCAAATGGCCAATCAGCAGTCAGTATTAGTGACATGCCCCCTAGCTGCAAGAACTGTCCGGCTTTTCCTCAGACAAAACTGTTAAACATCAGTGGGGACTGTCCACTTCTGGCACTGGTGATCTTTAATGGTTAGAGGGCAGAATAGGTTTTTTTTCCAAAAACCTAAACAGAGTTTGGAGAAGTTCAAATGATGGAGGCTTGCAGTTATCCTCTCAAACTTCTGAATAGAACCAGGGGGCGGTCCTAGCCTGTTTGGCACCCTTGGCGAACATCTTCTGTGCCCCCCAACCCCCCCACCCACTCCTGGAGCTGGACATGCCCAGCTATAAAATATAGCTTAGATCATTGTGCACCAACACAGACACACTCAAAACGTCTTTGAAAATTAAAGTTAGGTCATTTTTGTTTGGTAGATTCATTCTTTGTTGTTTCGGCAATAAATCAGTGAAAATCCTGTTAATTTCCCTTTAAATTGTGCCACATTTGTAAGGAACATACATTAGTGGGATGAGCAGTAGAGCTGAGTATGTGGGTTTTACACTGATTAAATTTGCCAAATCTTCCCTGTCAAACAGCTTATTGTACTGTTGTTACTGACACTTGTTTTGAGCGTCTGGTATCCCCAATGGCTGCCAGTCAGGTTCAGCTATAAGATTTATTGCCAAGAATCAACAACAAACAAAGAAATAATCTTCCAAACACTAATTTTCTTACTTTCTGTGCCAAATTCGTGTAGAATATAGACACACATATTAAGGCACATACATATGCCATGAATTTAAATGCTTAAAATAAAAGTTGCACCAATTGAATAATATTAAGAAAAATCAGACAAACATCCAAATTTCCCTGCTTAACTGTCAAAGAAGATTTGAACCTTTGTTTTACTACGACCGTTTACACTATTTCACTTCAAGAAACACAAATTAAACTCCACACCAACTGAACACTAAAACATCTGTTTAATACTGTTGGCTATTCACAATATTATTCATGAAATGTTCTTTGTTTGGGATGAATGGTGACTTATAGGACTGTGTATTGGCAAGAATTTGGCGATACGATACATATCATAACAGAGGGGTCACGATACGATATATCCCGATAT